ATATTTTATCCTTTACAAATATTTTTTGCCCTACATATATTTCAGTCAAGGAAAATACAATCATGTGAACTTTAACACAAAGAATTTTAACACATGTAACATAACACATTTGGATAAAATCAGCAAGCAACATACTTTACAATGTTCAAAAAATACTATAACAATATATAAATAATACTAATAATAATTAATAATCATTATAAATCTAGTAGGCTATTCACATTTGCATTTAGTCTAAATGTAGGCAATTGTAACATTGGAAATTTATTTTCTTGCCCGTTTTGAAATATATTTTGGTATATGAATGTTAAAACAATAGTTATTTCAAGTTTAAAAATATATTTAATGTATATATATTTGCCCAGAAAAATATATATATTTGCTATATAGGAGGACAAATAAGAACAAATCCATCCGTTTTAATGAAACTGTTGTTTTCTTTGATCCAGGTATTCAGAAACGGTATGTTTGTGCCAACTTTGGTGAACAGGGCATCACCGTTGGCTGCTGGGATACCTATAGACATGACATTGATTGTCAGTGGATCGATATCACAGATATCAAACCAGGAGACTATATTTTCCAGGTAGCGTTTTAACTAAAATGAAAAAATATATATTGAGTATTACAAGAAAATACTATTTCAGTCTTTCTACTTCAAAATTCTAGCTTTAATTCATTAGTTATTTTTTGCTAAATTTTCGAACAATTTCTGAGTGAAAATTGTTTCTACGCCAGACATCCGGAATTTGAATTTTTCTGACATTATTCTGTCACACAGGTTGTTCTCAATCCTTACTATGACGTAGCCGAATCAGATTATACCAACAACGTTATGAAGTGCAAGTGCCGCTATGATGGATACAGGATATGGATGTACCACTGTCATACAGGTGAGTTGCAGAAAAAAAAACTGTATTGAAGTTCTACCAGGACAGTTTAAAAGCCATTAGAAGTGAATACTACCACCTCTACCACTTTCCAGGTGGCTCGCGGAGTTCAGACATGGATGAGTACCCTGGAATGAGCAACCAGCTGCACTTCAGATAGGACACAGTGAGGAAGGACCAAGGCTCTCGGTGGAGGACGCTACCGGCTGTCACTCAGACAATTCAGATATGATTGACCACTAGAGAGACTCCAGCACTTCGAAGGCAGAGACCGCTGCTCTTTTAGGCTGAAATACAGCATGCTCTTTCACGGTCCTCGCTATATCAAACTTGCTTTGAGCAGAAACGATTTAAATTCCTAAATTGTACTGTACTTGCTGCATTCATTTTTGGTGCTTGAACTGCTTATTTGTTGGTTGTAGTGGTTACAAACCCGTGCTGTAATGTTCAAACTGGGATCTTAATATTAAGTTTTCAGTTCTTTCTGCATTGTAACTTAAATTCACAAAGCCTGCAGTTTCATGAACTCCACTCCACTAGCGGCTGTCAAACTCTTGTGGTTTCAAGCATGTAATTTATTGTGTTCAGTCAGGGATAATGTTTTATCAGGTTTTGTGTATGCAATGTGAAACTGTAATAATTTGTTGCAATTTTGTGAAGCATCTACCCTCTGTTTTATGAAGGGATCTATGACCAGTTCAATGGTTTCCAGATATACAATGTGTTTATGACTGAACAACACATTTGGTCAAACCATTGCATTGTTTCCTAGAATAAAAGCAATTAATGCGTGTTATTTGGAGGATGGTGTTTATGTGAACCTGAAAACCCATGTTAAACCCAATTAAAGAAGTGACACCAAAACATTTCATTAAAACAGTTTGAGATATCAAACAATTTTAAAGCATCGTAGTTTTTTAACAAAGCAACTCCGACATACAAGTCAAATATATAATAACTGTAGCAAACAAAACAAACAGATTTATCTACATTCAGTTGTACATCTAATAATACTATTGCATGTTAAACAAAACATTTAATGTTTCAAAAATGTCATTTAGACTCCATTCCCATCTCAAATTACACAAGCTGAATATGAAAACAACATTGACAAACAACACAGCTAAACACACAGTCTACTTAATTTAATCATTAGGTTCAATATGATTGATATGACAGGAAATCCAATGAGCAAAAGAGCTTATTTGTATTAAATAAGATTTAAGTTAATAAAAATGATCTATTTACAATGGCTGGACCAGATGCTGTGCTTGTTGGCATGAAGAAACAGCAAGAAAAAAACAAGGCTGTTTCCTGCTAAAGAAGAAAGAACCAAAGTCCTCTGAATGCTTACCAAAACTCACATCAAATGCTCACTTAACATTGCTTGTTTCCTAAAATAGTACAGAACTCAACCAATTAAAACTTGGGAGACCACATATATTTCATGTGTTTGAGAATTTCGAACATCCTGTGCAGCTAAATAACACTTTACAGCATCTCCTTTCCCAGGCTGAGTGGTGCAGTAATGTCAAGGACATTTGAAGAGTTCAGATGCAAAAGCCTCTAAGTGCTGTCTGAAATTTTCTTCTAAAATTAGCATTTTTATCAGGCTTCTATGTTTAGGTTCAGTAATTTTACTTTAATGGCAATGTATAGGTCCTTTTCTATGCCATTAAAGTGAAATAAATGAACAAATATAGGAGTCTGATAAAAATGCTTTTTAGATGAAAATTTCAAATGCCACTTAGAGGCTTTTGCATCTGAACTCTTCATTTGTTCTTTTCCCAGTACAGTTTTAACTGAAGATCAGTCTGACTGTGATGAGGAACTTTATTTATTCAGTTGAAGTTGTTTCTCATTTCAAAGCGTCTCCCCCTCAACCCCAGCGCTCTGGTCACCATCCTGCGAGCCACCACTGTGTCCGTCCGCGGCCTTTCCTTCACCGGCTGAATGAACTCTGTAGGGCGACATCAACATACTGACATTATACAGATCAGTAGCATGACATTTGTATTAATCTATTTATTCAAAAATACATCAAATCCACAATATACATAAAATGACCGAAAACTTTCTTTTAAAGGGATAGTTCACCCAAAGAAGAAGAAAATTCTGTTACTCACCCTCATGTCGTTCTAAACCCATAAGACCTTCGTTCATCTTCGGAACACAAATTAAGATATTTTTGATGAAATCCGAGAGACTCTGTAGACAGCAACACAACTGAAATGTTGTAAGACCTAGAAACATAGTAAGGACTTCGGTAAAATAGTTCATAGGCGTGTTTCCATTACCCTTCAAATTGCACAAATTGAAATTGCGAATTGAAAATACACCTAATGGAAACACGTCAATTTCGCAAAAACGCCCATATATCGCAAAAAAGTTTTTACGTTCACATGAGGGGGGTTTTCAGGCAATGCGAAAAAGGAATAATTAGTAAAACTGCAATGGAAACTGCTTTTTCGCATTTACAGGTCACATGGCATATATAAAAAGTCATATGATCATTCTTCAGTGTACTATAAACTCTAAGAAACATCATACGTGGCCGCTCTCCAGTATAAGGGGCTTTCCCTACCATTAATGCTTAGAGTAGACAATTTACACTGCACATGTCTGCGGTGCAGTGTGGCTCTGATACGGCCACTGAAGCTGATTGCGGCCACAATGCTTGTGTTTATTCCAGAATCCAGCCACGCCATGCACGCTTCTGAAGTGTCTCTTTGTGCTGCTTCTGTACAGATACACGCATACGCCTCCTTTGAATAAATATAGCCAAAATCCGTCAAAATCCCACCAAAATCCGTTGCTATGACTTATCGCGAGAGACAAAAGGTTACGTTTTAGTCGCATAACATTGGTTAATGGAAACCGTCATTTCGCAATACTTTTTTAATCGACATTTATAAAATATTGCCAAAGTTTTGCGCAAATCTGTAATGGAAACGCGCCTACTGTGACATCAGTGGCTCAACCGCAATTTTATGAAGCAACGAGAATAGTTTTTATGCGCAAAGAAAACAAATGACGACTTTAATAATTATATTTGGATTCTCGCCATTACGGAGAGTACCGCGACGCATACGTTCCTCTCGATAATGGCAGAAGACATGATTTGGAGAAGAATTGTTGAATAAAGTCATTATTTTTGTTTTCTTTGCGCACTAAAAGTATTCTCGCAGCTTCGAAAATTACGGTTGAACCACTGATATCACATGAACTATTTTACTGAAGTCCTTACTACGTTTCTGGGTCTGGGAACATTTCAGTTGCGTTGCTGTCTATGCAGGGTCCGAAAGCTCTCGGATTTCATTTCATTTCTAAATTTTGAAATCTTAATTGTGTTCTGAAGATGAACGAAGGTCTTACGGGTTTGGAATCGACATGATGGTGAGTTATTAAAGACAATTTTCATTTTTGGGTGAACTATCCCTAACTTAATATAGCACCTGAAATAAACACGTGTCACGGTTTCCACAAACATATTAAGCAGCAAAACTGTTCTCAACAATGATAATAAATCATGTGACACTTAAGACTAGAGTAATGACCATCACAGAAATAAGTTTAATAAAAAAAAAAAAAAAGTAAAATATAAATGTTATTTCAAATTGTAATAATATTTCACAATATTGCTGTTTTACTGTATTCTTTTGATGAAATAAATGCAGCCTTGGTGAGCATTTTCAACTTTCAAAGGCTTTCAAACGCATTAAAAAAACGTATCGACCTCAAACAATTAAATGATATGCATGTTATTACTTTTCTCTTGATTGTTACACCACTTCAGTTTTAGAATCCTTACATAATCTTTTCCTTAAAAACGAAAAAAAAAAGGGTTTTTAAACCAGATTTTTTTTATCGTGGACACACCAAGTCTTCTAAAGTGAAACCCTCTTTCTGAAAGGTGTCTTTTCTGTACCTGCACGCCTGGTTGCTTTCCACTTTGCTTTCTGGCTCCCCTCTAGCAGCGCGCGGGTCTTCAGTATGGGATGTTTGAGGGACAGTGCCTGCGTAGCTGAACAGAGTCAAAGATGCGTTCGTCAAACATATGAATATAAAGAATAATCATCCTTGAAAAAAATGCTGGCTACTGAAACGATACCTGCCGACTGACTTGAAAACACTCCGAGAGCATGAGTGTTATCCACCCACTTGATCTTCATCCCCCCTTCACTGGAAACAGAAGCAGATCGGTGGCACTTTATAGATCTGTATCACTACTTTTTGTCAGAATATAGAGGCGACATATCACCTATAGTCAGAAAAGGCATCAAGCAGGTCGTCTGTTTTAAACATGGCAGGAAAGTCGTAGATCTCAATGACGTGGCTGAACTCCTGAGGGTCCAGCCAGATGTTTGCATAGGCGGGGAAATCAATGCAGGTGTTGAGTATGGTGATGTCCCCATGTTTTAGCTTGGCTTTGACCTAATAACCAAGAAGAATGAAGGACAGTGTGTGAGAACAGACAGAATAAAGATGACTGGAAATATGGTAAGAGATGCATTAGCTCTCATTCAATTACTGCGCATACAAACGTTTTCACAATCAAGTGATCAATAAGTTTTGTACTAATATTTATTCTAAATTGAGGACATTTCATCTCTATACTACTGCATTTTCCAGAATATAAATCCTGTTATATTATCATCTGAATGTACTGCAATTTCTATACTGCAACATTAAGCAAGCAAAACATAACTTTTGGATTTGTGCTGAATAAGAGAGGTAGCCAAGTGAGCCAAAGTTTTGTTTTTGCTTTACATAAATCTGTTTAGGTTTGGCATTTACAGTAAATATTGTTTATAATTAATGCCACTATAATTTGTGTTTGTTTTATACTTCTATTTTTTATTTCAGTTCTGAATATCGTTAAATTTAAAGGATTTATTGTGGAGTGAAAGGAACTAAAATAAATGTTTATAGTGTTTATAATGTTTTCGCCAGTTTCGTTTCATTTACTGTTATTTTACATTATTTCTTAATTTAATAATGAAATGTGAATTACACACTGATGCAACTTGTCTGTTTTTTTTTTAAATGCGATTTTGACCAGTTTTACTTCAGTATTGCGATACCATTATAGTTTTTAATAATATTTAGAATTTGTTTTTAATTTGATGTAATTTTTTAGTTAAAGTTTTAGTCATTTTGTTGTTTGGTATTCATTTTTATTTATTTTAGCACAATGAAGCAAAAATAAATAAAAAAAATTTATTTCGAGAATTTTTTTTCTTTATTATAAATTGCAATTATTTTAATAATAAATTAATTTTTATTTAAGTTTCTAAATTTTTAATTCTAATCTGCTATTATCTGAATAACTATTTATTCAGTGAATGAGACCCATTAAGTTACAATACCTCCGAGAGCAAACTTTCATCAACCTCCTGCTGCTGGAGTGTGGCATCAGTGGGAAGGGCCGTGTTGTTGGCACAATTTTCATCTGTTTCGTCATCTAATGTCAGAGATGTGAAGAAAGTCACAGTCTGGTCCCAGGCTGGAGGCCACGGTGATGGGCCCGACCTCGAAAGCTGCACAATCTCCTCATCGCCCAGTGACTGGCCAGTGCGGTCCACCTCTGGCTTCTGATTGGCTACAAGAGGTTCCTTAGCAATGGCAGAGCAGGATTCCACAGATGATTCCTTGAGATTCGGTTGTTCCAGATCTATCTTGTCTCTCATAACACGCGGAACGTAAATAGCCTTGTCTGGCCGTCTGGCTCTCCGTCTGTTGTTGAAGCTGGTCTCCAGTGAGCGTGTGTTGCTGTTGGTCTCCATGTCTCTGTCCCGACTGCGCGCTCGCTCATTGGATTTGCCCTTCGCATCTATCTGGTCTTCTTCTGGCAACCTGTCCGATGCACCACACAGAAATTGTAGTTTGTAACGTAATCTGTTACATCACACATTTTAGGTAATGCAATCGGAGTACTTTTTTTTTTTGGTTTTAGATTACTTTTGACCTAACTAATGTTTATCGCATTGAATTTAACTTTGGGTTGCAAAAAGGCAGAACATTTCTGAAACTTTCCAGAAATGTAAGGAACTTTCTGGGATTATTTGGACACTTTTGGGAATTTACGGAAACTTTGGAAAGTTTCTGCCCCTTTGCAACCCTAATTTACATAGGACATTCTTCTACCATATTGATAGTAAAATACAAAGAGAAAGTAAATATATTTCAATCAATTGTTAATTAACAACATGAAGTGCATTAAAGAAAATCACATCGCGAAATAGGCTTTGTGATGGAACTGCAGGGGGTCCGTGAGTTTAATGAAAAGCTTATAACAGTGAACATGCAAATATGTTACTTAATTATCAACTCTTATTACCTTAAAATCTCAAGTAGTACTTCAAGTAAATGTATTTTTGTCTGACAAAAAAAAAGTTTGTGAATCCCTGCATTAAATACTATTTGTGACCCTGGACCACAAAACCAGTCATAAGGGTTAATTTTTCGAAATTGAGATGTATACATCACCTGAAAGCTGAATAAATAAGCTTTCCATTGATGCATGGTTTGTTAGGATATGATTTAATATTTGGCCGAGATGCAACTATTTAAAAAAAAACAAAATATTGAGAAAAATCACCTTTGAAGTTGTCCAAATGAAGTTCTTAGCAATGCACATTACTAATCAAAAATTCAGTTTTTATATATTTAAAGTAGGAAATTTACAAAATAAATTTTTGGAATATATATAAACTTTATGGAATATGATCTTTACTTAATGTCCTAATGATTTTTGGCATAAAGAACAATCAAATGTTGACACATACAATGTATTTTTGACTGTTGCTACAAATATACCCCAGCGATTTAAGACTGGTTTTGTGCTCCAGGGTCACATTTAAAAAAGGACATTTTAAAAGATTAAAAAGAGTTAGGGAGAATCAATAAATTGCTGTTGTGTGAATAATATGTAATCAATATAAAAGTAAGTGTTGTCTGACTACGAGTATTTTTTTAATTTAATCACAATTTCTTGATTTTTGGAATGGGATTACGTAATCCAGATTCCATGTAATCAGTTAGCATTCAGCACTGGCACCACAATGATGAGACACTAAAACTCCATGAGTGTGTCATGTGACATGAGCTCTGGCAGCTTTACCTGAGGTCTGAATAGCACACTACGACTCTGCGAGCGCAGCCCTCGCCCACAGAGAAGGTGCTGAGGTTGGGATGCTTTGCACTGGTTTGGTGAATCAGGAAGCGAAGTCGGCTCGGGACAGGAGGGAAGAGTAGAACGCTGCAGTTCAGAACATCTCAATTAGACAATATGGCAGGAAGCCCAAAATACACATACAGCCGTGGTCAGAATTATTGGCACCCTTGGTAAATATGATCAAAGAAGGCTATGAAAATAAATCTGCATGGTTAATCATTTTGATCTTTTATTAAAAAAATTCACATAAATCTAACCTTTCATTGGAAAATAAGAATTTAAAATGGGGGAAATATCATTATGACAAATGTTTTTCTCTAATACACATTGGACAATTAATGGCACCCTTTTATTCAATGCTTTTTGAAACCTCCATTTGGCATAATAACAGCTCTGAGTTTTCTCCTATAATGCCTGATGAGGTTAGAGAGCACCTGACAAGAGATCAGAGACAATTCCTTCTTCCAGAATCTCTCCAGACCCTTCAGATTCCCAGCTCCATGCTGGTGCTTCTTCTCTTCAGTTCACCACGCTCACTTTCTATAGGGTTCAGCTCAGAGGACTGGACTGGCCATAGCAGAAGCTTGGTTTTGTGCTCAGTGAACCATTTTTGTGTTGTTTTTAAGGTTTGTTTTTAGATTATTGTCCTGGAAGATCCAAACATGGCCCATTATAAGTTTTCTAACGGAGTCAGTCACTTTGTGATGTTTTATCTGTTGGCATTTGATAGAATCAAAGATGCCAAGTATCTAAACAAGATGTCCAGGACCTCCAGCAGAAATATAGGCCCACAACATTACAAATACAGCAGTATATTTCATTGTACACATGGGGTACTTTTGTTTGTTGCTAAAAAGCAAATCCCATTTGAAGTTCCAGTCATGTCTGACAAAAGAATATGCTGTGGATTGTTTTTGGATGAGAGCATTTTCTTTTCTTGATTTTTTTTAAGCCCTCCCAAACAACACGAGGTGTAGGTGCTGTTTGATTTGATTAGATTTTTTAAGGTTTTCTGACCCTGAGACTCAACTATTTTCTGCAATTCTCCAGCTGTGGTCCTTGGAGAGTCTTTAGCCACTCAAACTCTCCTCCTCACCGTGCATTAGGACGATATAGACACACATCCTCTTCCAGGCAGATTTGTAACATTTTCTGTTGATTGGAAATTCTTAATTATTGCCCTGATGGTGGAAATGGGAATTTTCGCTGCTCTAGCTCTTTTCTTAAAGTCACTTTCTAATTTGTCAAGCTCAATTATCTTTAGCTGCACATCAGAAATATATTCTTTGGTTTTTCTCATTGTGATGGATGGTAAAGGGAAATTGGCCTTTGTTTTCCCTTCTATTTATATTCCTGTGAAACAGGAAGCCATGGCTGGATAATTTCATGTTCATAATCACCCTGGTATGCTCAAAATTGTAAATATGAATGGGAATATACTTCACAGATATTTTACTCATAAGAATTTCTAGGGGTGCCAATAATTGTGTCCAACGTGTATTTGAGAAAAACATTTATTTCATAATGAGATGTCCCCCCATTTTCAATTGTTTTAGTTCAATGAAAGGTTAGATATTTGGGAATTTTTTTAAATAAAAGATCAAAATGATTAACAACGCAGATTTATTTTCACAGCCTTCTTTGATCATATTTACCAAGGGTGCCAATAATTCTGACCACGACTGTACATATGAGTGTGATAGAAGTAAAATTCATTGCCAGTATTAGGGTGGTTGTCAAGTCACTGCAGTTGCTAGGATGTTGGAGTGTTTTTAATGGGTTGCAATAGGGTATTGTAAGGTAAAGGGTTTTGAATGTTTTTTGTTTTCTGCCATGCAGCTGCTCGAGTATTTGGAGTGCTTTTTGATCTGTTTCTATGTAGTTTTGAGTCTTGTTCTGTCATGCTGCTATGCAATTTATGAGGTTTCAATTGTTTCTAGTGTGCTAATTTGCTGTTCCTAAGAGGTTTTTCAATGCTTTTAGCATGCTGCTATGCAGTTGCAAGGGTGTTCTGGGTGGCTGTTTATCAGCCAATGTAGTCCTCCTGTCCCTGTATGACTGTGAACTGCATGTTCACATTTCTATCATGACCAACAGTATTATCAAACATTTCTAATAATGTTGGTGAGCATTATTAATGAAAGCTGCTAGTGTCTCTTCTTCAGAGGTGTGATGAAATTACCTTTTGTGCTCATTTCTCTGTTGAAACACATCCAGCTCCTCCAGGACTGTATGGATGAATTCAGTCTCTTGTTTGGGGAGGTAACAGCCATTGACACGAGGAAGAGCCAGGGTGTCAGAGGACGACGATCTTCATCCACAGAGACTTACAGGAGATGCTTTAGTCTCTACACACTTGAGAGAGAGAAAAGAAATATTAAGGAGCGGATCAGTAACTTACAGGCCAAACACCACTGAGCTCGAGTTCACTGAGGCAAACTAAAGGCACAGATTTGATCATTAATTCACATACAACTGTCAAATTAAAACCTAAAAGCCATTACGCCGTTATTTTATTGTCACCTGCTCAAGTTTGAGTCAAATACAAATAGCTAAGTATTATCAGGGGACTTGAATGACATTAAACAACTAAACTCACTTGAACATTAGCTAAGGTACTAGCTTAGCTCGCCACTCCCACTCAATAACATTAAACGCGTTTCAAGACGCGACTGGTTTAGACTCGAAACTCGAAAGAGACCTTTAAACGCGATTAACCCCCAGTCAAAAAGACAACTCTTCATAACCGCAACACAGTAACAACACTAACACTAAATTGAACCGGCACCAGTGACGTCCTGAAGATTTTCGGTACACATGTGAAAGCTTTTAGTTCCCTCTAGCGGTCAGGGGTGCAATTACCCCCCGTTCTACTGTGCATCTATATTGAATATAGCGAGTATCGCCATGTATAGCCATGTAGATGCGGTGTCAAATAATCTGCTATCCATGCGTCTGAATTTGGGGATAAAAGCACATTTCAGTCAGTTAATCTATGTATGAGACAAATAATTACATAAGTTAAACTAAACTAACTAAACATTGCCAGTGTATCCGACAAAAATATTTAAAACCTGGAAGACTTTGACCATGCCATCGCAGTTTTCATGTAAACATCAGTCTGATGTGGTCAACTTCAACATGTCCACCCCGTTAAGGGAAATATGAAAAAAAGTAAATAGAATTTCTCATTTTTAAAAGTACCATTTAAAAAAAATACTTCTATTTTTTCTTTTACAAACCTTCTGTGTTAGCATTTTTTGCTCAGACGATTTTGTAATGTAATGTGTAATGGCTAATTTTAAGTCAAAATGTCCACCCTATTAAGGCAGAAAACCTAACAACACATTTAGTGTACATAGTGATAGTCATAGCAATTGATGTTTAAGTTGAAAAAGTAGTGTATTTAAACTCTATTAAATTTTACATATTCATAAATAAATCTTTCAAATTGTTGTTCATTTGTCCCTAACAGGGTGGACATTTTTGGTCCTTCTCATTTAATTTGGCTCATAATTGCTTAAATTTATATGCACCATGTATTTATATACTAAAATTATTTTTCCCGTTTTACAGCTCCCTACCATGATTACACAAGAATTGATTTTTAAAAAATGTGATTCATTTTTTAAGTGTTATGTGTCCAAGACACCAAACCCCAGGAATGACCCGTTTATTACTACTATAATTTTTTTTGTTAGTCAAAAGTCCTGAATATTGAAGTCCTCTAAATATTTAAAGTTACATTTCTTTGATGTTAATGGTCGCATTGACATGCAGGTAAACAAACAGAAAAGTAATCCAAAAGTAACCAATCATCAGAATCCATTACCTATCTAGATTACATTACTGACTACATTTTTCATCATGTAATTTGCTTCAAATTGTATTTGCAAGACTACAATTTGTAAGTAATCTCCCAGCACTGTGTATGCAGAAAAAATGCAGACAACGGAATTAATTTGTTCAAGAAAACACTATTTATAGTACGATACATCATTTAAATAAGTGTCAAAAGATTTTCAAAAAAAGACATTATACAACACTGATAAAAAGATTTATGCTAGAAACAGTCTGAACTGACAGCAGTCTGAAATACAAGCTGGAGATGCAATATCAAACGCAAACCATGCCTTTTAAGGATTTATGGCATTTGTGTATAATAAGGATTATATTGCGGACCCCAATAAAAGTACAGTATTTCAATGGTAAATAGTCAAATGTAGTGTTAAAACAGCATGGAAGAAAAGACAAACGGTTTTTGCTAGAGGGGAATGGAATAGAACAGTGACTTGAAGTAACTAAACTGATGACATAAAATCTTTAAATATAACAAACTGACTACCAGTCTCAAATTTCCACGTACACAAAACTGAAGCTACTTCATGAATGTTATGACCGCTTTAACAAGCATTTATTGGAGCAGATTTCTCAAAAACACATTTTTACTATGAGAACATGGTCACAAAAGATTTGAATAATCAAGATGCAACTGTATTGTGACTGAACATTGTGCACTTAATCTATACTTCCCATTCAAGACAAGTATATACAGAAAACAAGAGAAAAGAACGCACTGGAGCTGCAATATAAAATTACATGGCACAACATAGATTTAAGACATTGGAAAGCTGTTAGATGAATTTCACTAAGATACATAATATAACCACGCTCTTCCTCTGTCAAAAACAAAAACAAAACATTAATGGATCAATGGTCTGAACTTAAAGGTATGCTATCTACATTTAAAGCAATAGGGTTGTGATATCATGAGATGGAAAAGCAGGTTCTGAGTCCAGCACGCCAATCATCACGTTACAAACATCATCCTGCAGGAAAGAAATAACACAATGCATTATTTCAAGATGATGATGATCCAAAGCACTAAATATATGGGATATCATCATATTCGGGTTCAAAAGGACTTACCTTTGGTGTGTTTTATCTTGACCCAATACTTCTATCCTCGAAAATAGTGATCTCCACCTTTGAAAACTCAAGTTAAGGAAATAAAGTGTCATAAATATCCTGCAAGTTTTTTTTTTTTTAATTCAAAAGTTTGGGTATGTAAGATTTTTTGACAGGATTTTGAAAGGTCTCTTATTCTCACCAAGGCTGAATTTATTTGTTCCAAAATACATTAAAAACAGCAATATTGTGACATTTTATTACAATTAAATAAAACGTTTTCTATTTGAATATATTTTAAACTGTAATTTATTCATATGATGCAACGCTACATTTTCAACAGCCATTCCTGAAAATTCTTTTCAGCGAAGCCATTCTCTGAAAACTTCTCACAAAAGCTAGACAATTTCGTCAACTTTACACTCGCCCTTCAGGCAGTCTTATCGTCCCGACATGTGAGTTTGAACGAGAGTGCACGCTTTCGCGGTAATGCATAGACGGACATTGGTGAAAATGTGGACAGTGTCAAAATAAGGTGTCTATTTATATTACAGATATCGATATTTTACGTGTGGCATCTTATCGTTAGATATTTAATCGATGGATTGATTCATATCGATGGATCGTTACACCCCTACTTATTATCACTTTTGACCAATTTAATGCATCCTTGCTGAATAAAAGTATACATTTCTTTTTAAAAAATCAAGCAATTCAGTCAGGTCAGAAAACTGTAGGAAGGATACAACCCTGAGGCCCCTCTCTATGGGGTCAGTCAGGAGAAGCCCAAGAGGAGCGTAGATCTTCTCATTCTGCTCCTGGATGTACTTGGCAATCTTTTTCAGCACCTGAATGAATTCAACAATACTGAAATCCATACGCACAATATGATATTGATGACATCTAGAGCCTATCGCTCTGTCAACTCACTTTCTCATAGTGAGTCTCCATGCAGAGGAAGATTGTGTACGCAGTGAGGCAGGCCAGACAGCCCTCCAGATATGACCTGCCGCCCAACTTTTCCGCCTCTGCATAGAGATTATTCAGGGTCTGTATGGTCTCCTCAAACTGCTGCTTGTCAATCTGTAACAACAAAACAATTATCAGTATTCAGAATCCATGTGCCACAGCTTTGGATATATTTGACATCAGTAAATACAGATTAGTGGTAAATGGTTCTTTTGTGTTTGCTATGGATCTCCACACACCCTGCTCTCCAGCTCTGCTGGGAACTTGGTCTGGAACTTGCAGATGGTTCCAGAAGTGTAGTCTCTCTGAACAAAAACCTTGGAGGCGACGGCTGCTTGCCGCAGGTCCTGCAAGCTGTGCGTCTGTTCAGAAAACCACAGATTACAGGTTATTAAAACACAATACATCTTCTATCCTCAAAAAATAGTGATCTCCACCTTTTAAGTTCTTTAAGGGGAGACACTGCAGGCAAAAACACTGATGTTTTGAAGTTTGAGATTTTTGACTTTTTGGTTTTTCATAAAGTGTTTTTTTTTCAGACTAGTGGAAAGAATAGAAAACATCCAAAAAAACACCGTTAATTGTTTCTTTTATAGCACTTTATCTGTGTCAATAGATTTCATTTACAATACATATTTTTAAAGGCCGTTTTCTCAAAATGAGTTTTTTCTCCTACACTGAGCCATAAATCTCCACTTCAGTAGCACTTACACACACCAAACTTTACATTTTTATTCCCATCTATATCCTGAAGGTTTTTACTGAGGGATTTGTTCACATATCATTTGCTTGATTATATACAACATTTTATTCCCCAAAACATGAATTATGGAGTGACAAAAATGAGATACCCAAAAATTCTCTCTGTAAAAACATTAGACTAATTTCAAAAAAATGAATCAAGAATTTTGAAACTGACCTCATCCAGTGTTCAGATTTTTGTACTAGAAATTAGTGATCGACCGATATATCGGCCGATATTTGGCATTTTTCAAATATCGGCATTGGCCGATAAGTTTTTCTGGTTGGCCGATGTGTTCGAGGCGGGACATTTATTTTGACGGCGCTGAGTGAATGCCAGCGCCTGAACACAGTTCTGTCTAATATGGATAGAAGTCTATCTAATAATCAGATAAACAAAGTTTGTTAACTGTTAACTTTGTTAACTGTTAAACAAAGTAATTAAAATGTATACAAAAAGTATTATAACGATTGCTTTAATATTATTAGTAATAGTAAGGCAAACATTATACTTTCTCATTTGCCATCAGCATTCAGCAAATACCCATTTATATCATTTAAACAAATTTTTGAATGACTAATGAACATTTCATTTCACAAACCTTGCAGACTTAGTTGAATCTAGTTGAAGTGTGCATTTGTATCCTGCATGATCACGTGTTCTCTAGGTGACAGTCGGTCCGTGAAAAATTAATGCTGACAGGAGGAGAGTTCTGCTTGACTGGAAACGCGCGATCGACAAACTTTAAAATAGTGATTTCAAATTATGCAGCGCTTTATGCATTTCCCCGCTGTCATATTCATGTCATTTTCATTGCATGCTGTATGTAAAATGAGTGTTACCTTGGCTTTACTTGAAAAAAAAGAAAGAAAAAAGATTTCTAATGCACACAAACTTCACAGAATACTGAGTGCCCTGTTGGTTTCAGTGTTTACTTCCTTTATAATTAGATTTTTATTAAATATTTATTTATTTGTGAAAAATGCTTTGTCTTCTAAAGTATAAGAATGTTTATTTTACACAATTATTTTTAATCCATTTTCAAATGATTTAACATTTCTTAAATATAAATGAAAATAAATACAATTATATCGGCCACCCTGCTTTCCAAGATATCGGCAGCGGCTGTCAAAAAACCCATATCGGTCGACCACTACTAGAAATGTATTTTAATTAGCGCATATTTCTTAGAAAACGCCTCA